TTTTAGTGCACGCGAGCGTAGTCGCGAGCAGGAAGCGATAACAAAATAATTCTTATTTGGTTATCGCTTCCTGCTTTATATATGTAACTTACAAAGGGAGGGGAAGGAGGGAAACAGTTAAGGTGTACATAACACTGGGTCTTTAAAAATAATATAGATGTTAGCCTATTAGTATGCTAGCTAAGAAGCAAGATTCCCATATTAGCAGAGTTATTTGATTTTAAAGTCGCCAACATTGAATGCGAATTGTACTCTTCCTCTAACTTTGGAAAGATAGAGTTGAAAAATGTGTAAAAAATAGAGGTAGCGGAGCGGAGCTTGCTAAACACTTTAAACGACAATTAATTTACAGAATATACGTGAAAGATATTTTAAGATAGTGGATATTTTGAGTTACGATCGCTAATGTTTGATTTTAGATATAGACCCGGTAGGTGGCCCCATTTTCCTCCTACATCTACTCCATTTTCCGTGCAATAAATACATTTAAATTTTTGATTAAATAAAAAGATTATGGGTTACACGTAGACGTCATTCAGCCAATATTGTGTCGCGAAGGTCGAAGCTATATAAAAATCGATGTGTTTTTCCTTTGGACTCCAAAACGTCTGGAGTGACTTTGATGAAACTTTCAGACAAACCTCAAATTAGCCCAGCGGGTGATCCTGTGAAGTTTGGTAGCGATCGAAGGTTTCAACGCGGGCGAAGCCGCGGCTACTGCTAGCAATAATATATAATTTTATATATAAAATATTTAATTTAAGAAATAATATTATGTGATATGAAACGCGAACTTATTTTTGTAAATAATAATGTATGTAGGTATTGTGAAAACGTAAAAAAAAATATATTTTAATTTGTAAATATGATAGTAATATTAACAATATAATATTCGGCGGTACTGAACCCTCGATGCAAGAGTCGAAATCATAATTACACGTTTGTAAATCATTACAGCCACATAATGTTATAACATAAAGCCAAAGGTTTGTTATATTTTTGTACTTTGAAAGTGCGTGAAGCCGCGGGTACTGCTAGTTAAATATAATATTTGTCGTTTTATATCAATCATCAAAAATTTTCCACTACTGATATCAGATATTTTTATGACTATTTTGTTATAATTTACTAAGTAAAAAATACATATTCGGTGTTTTTATTTTATAACCAGTTATGTACAAGGCTTTACACGCATGTACCATGTAGCTTTTAATAGGTGTTTATAATAAAAAAATAATTTGATAAATATAAAACCCGACTGCGTAAAAAGCGAACTATAAAGATGAGAAGAAGTTGACTAAGGAACATAGTATTATGCATTCGGAGATATAATATTATGTAGGTACATGTTTTATACTAGCTACGAGTCTTGCTACGTGGATACAATAGTTTAGTCAGTTAGACATGATTTATTTTGATTCATTTTGATTTATTTAATAATTTCTTTTCCTAAATTATTTTTAAATATATAAGTTGTGTATATTTTTGTAACCGCCTCTATAAAACCTGTATCATGATACCCTCGATTGATCGAAAAAAGAAATTGTTCAAGACACAAATTGGCACCTAGGATTCGTAATTTAGATTTTTAATGAAAAAAAATATGAAACTCGCGTTATCAAAATAAATTTAATGGCGTATGAATAATTAAAATCGGTTTAGCTCTTAAGTAATTACGAGGAAACGCAGAGTCGGGCGTACATACATACAATATGCATACATAAGTACATACATACATACATAGATACATACATACATACACACACATACACACACACAAACATACACACATACATATACACATGCATACATACATACATGTGTTTTAGCATTTTTCAAAATTCATTCCATAAGGGGATGAAAGTGTGTATGAAACCTATGTACCTATACCTTTTTTTTTTTTTTTTTTTTTAACGTTGGGAAATGCATTTACGCACGAGGTGTGGGACTCACCGGCAAAACCAGTACTACCCACTAAAACCCAACAAAACCTTCCCCCGTCTTAATGGGGCGTCGCAGGATCGCTTACGCATTCAACTACGACGCCCCGACGGCAGGTCTGCCGAAGCAGACCACAACAACCACGGGTACCAGGAGCAACCCGCATGGTACACTGCCCTCCGAAGAGGGCCACCTCCTACCGCCCACCGAAGTGGGCCTCCTCCCTGTGCGTTTCTTGGCTTCGCGCCCGGTTGGGTTGCCGGGCACTACTGAGCCCCCCCACCACGACAAGGTGAACGCACGTTGGGGGGGTATGTACCTATACCTACCTTAACTTTAAAATAATAAATAAAACAATACGTATATTAGTTTTTAGCGCGAGCGAAACCGCGGGTTCTGCTAGTACAACTATATATCGCATAAAGATATATATGTTCTGATAATTGAATTTTTGTAAAACTTTCGAAACCTATCCCATGGATGATGGACGGAAGAGTAATCAACTACCCTAAATGTTGATAGATCCGATCTCATGTCACAGAGGCTTCAACGGCACGTCTTTATATTATTGCATTAAAAAAAAGTAGCCTTCTTCTCCTCTAGGTATCGTAAATAAATCTCGTCAAATCAAACATGTAGAGACGTAATATGAAATAAGTGGCCTGTTAAATGGTAAATTTCATTAAGTGGTTTATCTGATTGGCCATTTTAATTTCTTGGATGCAGATGCACGATCTCACACAACCTGAAAAAAAAAAAAGACCAGACTAAAAATTCTGTTATCTAATTCCAGAACGCCTATGAATTTCAAATTCAGATAATTGAGACATTCTGTCTTGAGACAATTGCTTAGACTTTTCATGAAAATTAAATGTACTTTGGTGTAATTTCACAATAAGTGTATATAAAATAAATTCATATCTCTTACATTAAGGGACGAGGGATGTAGACAAATGCACTTCCACTTGTTTGTGGACGATATATGTTAGCTAACAACTACCAACAACACTAGAATGACCTAATTGTAAATATATAAATATAATATAATAAAGAGGTAAAGTTTGTGAATTGTGAGTTTGTGACGTAGTAGCGGGTAATCTCTGGATCTACTGATTTAGATGAAATTTGGTAAGAAGATAGTTTGAGACCCTGGAAAGGACATAAGATACTTTTTATCCTGAAAATCATATCTTAAGGGGGTGACAATCGGGATGAAAGTTTGTATTATGGGAAATAAACCTAGGGACGAACCCGAGCGAAGCGAAGGTGAGTCGCTAGTTGTAAATAAGAGTATTAATTTCAATTAGAAAAGTTAGTGACATTTTTGATTTTGCAAATTTTTGTATTGTACAATATACAATACTGTATACTACATAATAAGTACAACCGATACGCGTTTGTGTGATATTAGCAAGTAGCTTTTGGTATTTATAAACGCAAATACCATAAATAACTTACCATTACAATTAGCGCATTGTGTAATAAATATTATTTAATTACTTTTATTTGGTAGAAAATTTTTGTAACATCATTATTATTCACTTAACGCATTCTTTCAATTCAATAATAATGATTTTTTACTACTACTGTAATGATTGAATTTACAGTAATGAGTATTTTAATTTTTTTTTAAATGTTATTCACATCAGTTTATAAGACAAATAGTTCTTTTGACATTTATGAATACTTATGTTAAAAATGATGATTATGATTATAAGGAAGTATTCACTGAGACCTAATGTATTTATTATTGCTAATATACAAATAAATAAAATATAATAATACAATGAGATTTGTCACCTAAAAATCTATCGAAGAAATTAGAAATTAACGCTTTTCAGATTCTTCCAGATTTCAGAAAGAAATAAATAAAATAAAATATTAATAGTCAAGGTCTCTTGCTCAATTCGAAATTGTTTAATTTTTAATAAATAAATCATCAAAACTGCTAGGAATATACACAATTCACATCGTGATTAATAAAGCTTAAAAACAAACAATACATTGCATAAATGTCACGTACGTTACTATGAATCGATGTACATATGTGTATGATGAAAAAATATATTAATTTCATTATTAGATCTATCAAATGAAGAAAAAAAAAGTATCTTTAAACCTTTGTAGCTTTATAAATATGTAAAAAATACACTGTTAATGAAAAAAATGAAATATCGATGTTTAATAAGAAGTTTTAATAGATATTTAAGATATGCGCACTTTTCCTACAATATAGTATTGGTTGGAGCAGATGGTAATATTTTCATCGCAGCATGTCGGCTTTGCGTCACGCGTTGATGTTTTTCGTACAGATGGGTTGCTTAAGCTGCCTACTAACATTATATCAATAAATATTGTTTTAGAATATTTACAATTTCCTAAACATGTTTCATAATAAATTCTTTATAATTGTTTGATTGAATTTTATATTGTATGGCAACCATATTGTATTTAGTTAATAAAAACTTTAGATTTTCTAAGTTGAGCTTCTCCTAGATTTGTGATATATTTTTAATTTTAATTAATTTATAACATCTATATTAAAAGTATAGCATTTTGTTGAAACATTTAAATCGTATGTAATTTATAGATGATACCTTAGATATGACCTATAATATGATCTGCGTTGGGGGTCAAAGCCTGGCTAAGTAGCACAGTGGGCCATGGGCGCTGTTGCGGATATATTGTTTTCTTATAATGTCCTATAATCTGGAAATACGATAATACCATGTTACTGTATGTACATATAGACTTATTTACGTATTTTGTTGCTGTAAATATACTATTTTTATATAATATCTGTATTACATCATTATACTTATATGTATGTATATGAAAATAAAGCAGTCCTATTACATATGTATAAGAGTGGTAAAATATAGAAAATTATTCAGCTTAGAATATTTAAATATCGTCTATGATAATTATTTTCTGATTGTCAGAATAATTTTTTTCATTATAGTTTTCTTTACTTTAATTCTTTATATAGGTACTTATGTAGTATTTTTTTATGATGCTATATTAAGTCTTTTAGAATTTCTTTATAGTGTTTAGGGAGAATGACTAAGCGCATGCAAAGGAAATTAATTGATAATTTGGTTATTGAAAATAGCAATATTTGCTTGATAGTAAATACTGAAATACCTTTGTCTTTAAAGATTTTACCTACTGTTTATCATTTAAGAAATGGGGCTGGGGATGAAATGTTTATATCCCCCGTCTTGACTATGGTGGATGGGGGGGTGCAGGGTGGGATATAGAGTGTTGGCTGAAAGATATATGGTGCAGGGTGTAGGTGGAGGGTGTAGTAGTGGTGTTGAGGGGTGTTGCGGAGCGCGGTGGCGGGCGGCAGCTTGTGTGGGCACGCGGCTATAAGTAAGAGGCGCGCTGGCGGCGGCGAGGTTAGTCGCCGTTCGGCAGCGCGTCCAGCGGTGTTACGTCCCCGCACGCCCCCGGTGCGTCCCAACTCCCTCCGCTCTGTTCTCCCCTCACGCACTCGCCTTTCTCATACGACCGGCGATCCTCGCTTGCACAACCTAGTTCAAAACCGAAAGGTCGCCGCTATTGGCATTTAAACGCTCTCTGACATTAACGTTGCATTTAAATGTGCGATGCAGCTTCCTCGTTGAGCTTCACTGTCGCAACTGTGTGTCGTTTGGGAAAGGCGCGTGTGCTGACGTGAGGTTTCTGTTGCAGCCATCCGCCCGAGTGACCGGGCCGTGTGCTCCGCACTTGCCTTAGCACGAAACACGCACTCGCAGCTCTCCGCAGCTGACCCTCAGCATGGACTCCAGGATAGCTCTGTGAGTACATTTAAACATCTTGTACGGATTTTATATTTAAATTCGAGATTGAGTCAACAATTCAACATTATTTACATTAATGATAACCAACAACTCGTTATTATATGACTATTTCATAATATCATGTCGTAATTTTTGTACGTTTACTTTCTAATAGGCAATAATTATGTTAATAAAAAATAGCGGATCGAAACCTGTTGGCATATATTGTCACTTTCATCGAATGTTTGCATAGGTGAATCGCGCACTCAGCGCGAAGAGCTTTACGTAACTTGGTGCTGTGACGGGGTGCATCTTATATCTTTTATACTGTAAAAATAATATGATCTGATTTCTTGTGTGGAAATCAGGTGTTGGTTGCTCAATGACAGGCAACTGACATCACGAATGAGGGCGCGTGTTTCTCAATGAAGGCTGCGAAATATTGCTTTTAAAATATGCACGACTAAGCGCGCACATTGTCTCCCCCGCGACCGCCCAGGCGCCTTGCTACTTGCAAAGCTTGGTAACATTAACTACTGTAAATAAATTTACCGCTTGACTACTTTTCCCTTAGTTACCACAATTTTGTGGCATCACACAATGTTGATACTACAAACTTTCTTGCGCAAAAAGCTCACTATCCAGCGTCACTTTATTAAATTTCCCGTAACCGATAAAATTGATGAACTCAAGTTATTACAAGTTAAAAATTCTGAAAATGATATTAAGGATAAGTCGCCATTATATAATATAAATAAAACTAGGAAGAATTTAGTAGGAGAATAATACTAATACCAATAAACATATTTTTCAAGTGTAGACTGTCGCTTAAAGGCGTATCTGCTATGTATAAATCATCAATCATAAGTATCCTATTTTCTATTTTTCCGGATTGTTTTCGTTACCTTTTTTATGTACTTTTATATATCTAAGCATATAGAAAAATTATGTATTAAAAAAAATTATACCTACAATATGTTAGATAATACAGTAAAGCTAACCTTTAAACTTAGGTACGCTACCTGAAGCATCTTACGCGACACATGTTAATGGGACGTGAGGAATATTACCTCAAAACATTATGCTTTCACATTATTTATATTTTAATATTTAATATATAGTGATAAAAATAATCATTTTTAAAATTACAACATATTTTTCTTGCTAGATTATTTATTAGGAAAGAAGTTGAAGTCATTCATTTATATTTTCTTTAATTTTGAATAGAAATGAAGTCAAAAGAAGAACAAAAATTGTTACCATTCATATTTTTATTATAAATTAATCATTTATCACTCAGAGATATGTATATCCCACACATATTATGTTAATAATAATGAACTACGGCAAAAAACAATGACTAAGGAAGCATTTTTATGTAAAATGTTGTTGGTGGTGACAATGTAAAATTGAGTAATTATTTCGCGATAACTTCCACAGCACACACAATATTAGGCTATTAACGCTTGCAGACATGTCGTCATTTCTATTGTTTCACTTTCGCCGTAAAAGAGAAGTCTTCACTTTAATCATTTTGTCATCGCCTATGCGTGATTCGGAGCTTCTCATTTTGAATACAAATCAGTACATATTGGAATTTCTCCGTGATACAGATTCGGGCGTACGTAACTCTCAGAGGTGAAAAGAAAGTTGTAATAGATATTTATACCACGTTTACAATCAAAGTAAGCGGAGACATAACAACATTTAAAAGCTATAGCACGAGTCTGTTTTATAACGCAATAATCTTTACATTGTTTTTAATAAAATATATAAGTTTAATTTACTAAGTAGACAATAAGTATATGTCTACAACTTTCTTTTCGGAATAGTTCACGTTTGATATTACTTAAAATATTTAAAATTATATTATACTTGTAAAATATAAATTAAATTATCATAAATGAGAGGCACTTTACATATAGTTTATATAAAGGCTAGAAGCGGCTATCATCAGCTTGCGGATATCCTATGCCTCGAGTTTCCCCGGATCCCAGTTGTGTTACAAGTCTCGCTTAGAGACGTGAGAGCCGAGCCCGGACCGGTCTCGTCCGCTCTCGCATCTTCACATCTCGTCTTCATCTGACCTTCACTTTCGCTTTTAACACATATTTGTAGAAGTGCGAATGAATATATTTTTTAGTTATGTTAATGACTTGGGCTCTTTAAAATTCAATCATCAGTGATGATCAGAACTAATGTATTTTAAAATTCCATTATTATGAGCTTAACTTTACTGCTGTTCACTTTAAAAGCAAATATAAAGCTACTAATGCATGTGTTTTGTTGTACAAAACATGTTGCGAAAGTACATTGTCGTTGGAGTCCCAGCTTTAGATTCCGTGCACCTGCCGAAGATGGTGCGCGGCATTCGCAGCTACAGCCTTCCTGCCCACTATTACTTTCTCTCTTGCACACTCATGCACATGAAGTCATCACAAACCATTGTTCATTTATAATAAAGAGTACATTGTTTTCGTAAACTTAGTATATTTTATGATAGAGAAAGACAAAGTATTAGATAATATAAAAATTAGATTTACGGAGAAATCTTTCACGTCTAGCTAATGCCTGTAGTGTTAGTGAGCTCATACTTTGCACTTTCTACCTCTGGAGCGATATGTCAAGGGCAACCGGTGACGGCGACAGCACGGCAGGTCACGACCCATCGACACCCGCTAATCCGCGCTTGCGCAACCACCAAATCTTGTCGGCGACTCAACCGCAGCTTGATTATTATGACCTATTCACCAATGCGCCATAACAACATCATCGAACGTTTGAATACTACAACGTTTGCTAGGTCGCTAGTAACATTTTCGCAACTCAATACATTCAGCGCGGTCAGGCTTGTAGCGATAAATTATTGAGTTTTCTTTGTATGTGCACTTTCAATAACTAGATAAATAAAAATGTTATGATATAAACCAATTAATTATTATTGACTACGAATTGAGAATGCAAGCCCTGCCTTCAGCGCTCTGTTTATAATTAACTCCAAGGAAACTCGTTCATTTCCTACTTGGAGTTTCAAGTAAAGTACGAGTATATTCGAAATGTGCGAAACGGAAACAAAAACTACAAGTTGAACAGCATACTTGGAGAAGGACTACTATGCCTTCGTAAAAGTATACTTGCAATGAAACATTCAATAACTATATAATCTATGAATAAAATATAAGTTTTTATGGAGTTACAAATTTTCGAGTAAACATGGGCGTTGGGAAAATATTCCGGATCTTATAATCAACATAGTGGATATATTATTCGTATCTTATTAAAATTAATATAAAACATTTTTATATTATTATTATTGTATTACCGCTTGTATAAGTAGATACAATTTGTGATCGAGCTTATGTGGTCGTTAGTAGGCAATTTACATATATGTCAAATAGCGAGAAACTGGAAACTACTAATAACATTCAACCTGAATGACCTTCCGCGAGCTTAGAATACCTACACAGTACAGACCTCTTAATTTAGCAAATTTTTAAGGTCGCTTGATATATTATTAAAATATAAATCACTTTACTAAAGTTTTTATCCAAATCCTTTAAAAGGATAAACTCCTGGATTAGCTATTAAAAATAAGGAATTATATTTATAGGTATATTTTTTTTAATTCATTGTAATGCTATATAACGTAGGTATAATTTTGTGAAACTTTTCATCACTAAACATTATTAGAGTCGTATAAATAGGTCCGGATTCATCTTCACAAATGTAACTAACTACAACTGGCAATGAGTCTTCACATTTTAAAGAATCGCTTTCGGTGTCGATCAGTTTCACTTTCAAGCCGATGATCTTTTAAGGAATTTGCTGTGAGATAACGGATGAGCGAAACCTATTGAATTTGTTTCAATATCGATTTGCGTTTTCCGTGTAAGATATATCACATACCTAATGTTTGTATTTACATAATTTTTTAACTTTATGGTTAGAAAGCATATCTTTTTTTATATATTACAATTGTAAAGTTTATTTTTTAGGTTTAACAATATGCTAACTTTATCGGATCATTAGTTGAAATCGAAAGCTTTGCCACGCGTGAATGGAACAGTTTTTTGACCTTGGCTCTTTCTTAGCGTCCACGCTCTGCCTTAGCTAGTTATTACGCAAGTATTTTGCAACCGATGCTTCCAATTTACTATTTTATATTAATTACTTAATTATCATTTCGTTTCTTTGATGTTGTATTCTATTAGACTAGCTAACGAGTTAAGGGGACATCTTCATACTTCGATTGAGACACAGCCATAAGGTATTTTAAATTAATACCTAAGAAGTACTACATAATATTTTAAAATATAAAAAGTTATTATACCACATTTCTTAGTATTTATTATTTTGTATAAGTCTGAATTAATTATGGTTTTAGCCAAATTGATATATTTAATGTTCTTTTCTCGCAAGCTCCTAGTCACATTCGATGAAATTCTATAAGGGTGTGGCATATTGTTGCGGTGCTTACGCATGAGAAGTTCCTGTTTACGAAACATGTTTTATGTCGGCATTGTGGTAAAAGTTGAATTTCTGCTTGGAGAAGCGTAAGAATTTGGCAAGAAATCGAACCTTGAAGTGCCTGATCAGTGACTCCTTCTATATAGGACGTTGGGAAAACCGAAACATGTATAATTTTAAGCAGAATTTCATTCCTTTCTATCTTTATGTTGTGACCTTAAAATATTAATCAGAAATATCAATTCTGAGAATAGTTTAAGCTAACGATTATTATTAAATATAAAGTTAACTTATTAAATATATTTCAATAGTAAAGCAATAACAAGCTTTTCTTATGTATAAATTAATTCAAAATCCGACTGCATTCTACAACATTTCTTTGTTTTACAACGTTGTTCTTTGTAGGTAGGTATGTACAGTATGTTTAAGTATTCTATAGTAGTCTGGGAGCAATATTTTTGTGTCAATAATGAATTCTAGTGCGTGCTGAGTTTATTCATACTCGTTGAGCTTTGAGATTCTGTGCGCACACCGCGACGCACGGGATGCGT